ATACTTGAAAGCAAGAATGTGGGATGCTCAAGCAGACAAAAATCAATCTCTCTTTGAAACGAATGAGCCTACCAAACCAGTTCATCAAGCCAGGCAGTGAGGAAAGTAGGAGGGAAGGGAATGATGAGACATAACAGAGTGGGAGGGATATATAGACTAAAGGAACAAAACACTTTGAGTCATCAACCTAAGGAAGAATTCATAACTACCCAAGAAGCCTTTATTATTTTCAAGATGGCCAACCCCCAAAACTGTTTATCTTCAATCAGTAGCATTCAATCAGCTACTGGGAAAGAACAAAGGACAAGAATGAATAGCTCTGCCACTAACAACACAGCTAGAATAAAGCCAAAAGGATGCCTAGTGGTTGACATGCACGGAAGTGAAAGTAAACTCTGGTGCTGTACAACACATGCAGTTGGAATATGAAATGTGAGAGGTATGGATCAAGTTATACTGGTAACTATAAAGCAAGAAATGGAAAGTATAAACATTGCAGTGCTTGGTGTCACTGAACTAAAGTGGACTGGAATGGGGCATTTTCAATTAGACAACTGACTGAAAGTGAACTATTTTGGAAATGACAAATCCAGAAGAAACCCAGGAGCTCTAACACTGAGGAAAGATGCATCTCAGGTAGTTAGGGGCTATAATGCAAGGTTTGATTGAGTAATATCAATCAGACTGTGAAAAACCTATCAACATAACCATTACAGTGGTGCCTCACTTGACGATTACCTCGTTAGATGAGGAAATCACTGTACGATGAAGTTTTTGCAATCGCAAAACAATGTTTTAATAGGGAAACACCGCTTTACGACGATCGGTTCCCTGCTTCGGGAACCGATTTTTCGCTTAATGACGATCTTTACAGCTGATCGTCTGGTCTTCAAAATGGCCGTCCGCTGTGCAAAATGGCTCCCCGCTGTGTTTTAGGATGGATTCCTCGCATTACAAGCACCGGAAAATGGCCGCCCTATGGAGGATCTTCGCTGGATGCTGAGGTATTTTGCCCATTGGAATGCATTGAACTGGTTTTAATGCATTTCAATGGGATTTTTACTTTCGTTTGACGCCGATTTCGTTCTACAGCGATTTTGCTGGAACGGATTATCCTCGTCAAGCGAGGCACCACTGTATTCAAGTTTACGTTCCAGTTCCCAGTGCTGAAGATGAAACTTGAAGCTTTTATGCTATAATCTAAGAGGACATTAATCACATATAAAAACAAGGCAGGCTTAAAATGCCTGGAATGCAAAAGCAGAAACAAATGTTGGAAAATTGGACCTAGGGGTCAGAAATGAAGCAGGAGAATGACCCATAATGCAAAGTCACCAATGTTTATTGCAAATACATGTTTCAAGCAATCAAACATATGGCTGAACACACAGACATCACCAAATGGTCAATAGCGAAATCTAATAGACTATGTAATTTGGAGACAGAGAAGCTGTATTCTTTTGGCCAAAAACAAGACCAGGAATGGACTGTGGTACTGATTGTGAACTCTTAATATCCAACATTAGAGTCAAGCTGAAAAAGAACATTAAAATAATCATTCTTCAGTAAACCATAATTTAAACATTCTTGATCGATTTAAAATCCACATAAGGAACAGATTTGCATTACTAAACTCAACTGACTGTGAACCAGAAGAACTGAGGATTGAAACCAGGGATATTATTAGTGATGAATGAAAAAAAAGCCTGTAGTAAAAAGAAAAACATAGGTACATGACAAAAGAAACACTTAAAATTTTAAAGAGCAAGCAGGAATCAAAAGTAAAAAGTGACAGAAATAGGGTCAGACCCTAAATGTAGCTTTTCAGTGACCATCATATGGAGACAAAAAGAATTATTACAATAGCCTGTGAAAAGAAATAGAGGAGAACAACAAAAGGGGGAAACCAAAGAGTTCTCTTGCAGAAGATCCAAGAAATCAAAGGGAAATTTAAACCTACATTAAGAAGGCTAAATGACCAAGAAGGAAGCATACTATCTGACCAGGAGAAAATGAAGAGAAGGTGGAAAGAGGATACTGAAGAGGTTATACAGATAAAAGAATGACAGACTCTTTTGTGGAGAAATCTTATGGTGAAGAATCTGCAATTCTACAAAAGGAAGTCAAACCTGCTCTGAAAACACTAGAAGTAAAGGAATCATCAAAGGGGAAAAGAATAACAATAGAATTGTTCCAAGCTAAAGAGACTTACTCTATCAAAATCCTAAAAATATGCCAACAAATATGGAAAACAAAAGAATGGTCCACAGACTGGAAACATTCAGCGTACATTCCAATCCCCAAGAAAGCAGATGCCAAAGCATGAAGAACTACAGGACCATTGCTTTAATTTCCCATGCAAGCAAAGTTACGCTCAAGGTATTGCAACAAAGGCTTTTCCCTTATACGAAGCGAGAAATGCCTGATGTTCAAGCTGGATTCCAAAAAGGAAGAGGCATTCCTGTTCATATTACATATATTCACTGGCTAGTGGAGCACACAAAAGAATGTTACACAGAATAAGGAAAATTGCAGTCTATAAAGCACAAAGAATTAAAGCTTTTGACTGTATATATCATGAGAAATGCAGATGATACCACTCTGACAGCAGAAAATGAGGAGGAATTAAAGAACCTCTTAATAGGGGTTAAAGAAGAGAGTGCAAAAAATGGTCTGAAGCTCAACATCAAAAAAACTAATGACCACTGGTCCCATCAACTCCTGGCAAATGGAAGATATGGAGGCAGATTTTACTTTCTTGGGCTCCATGATCACTGCAGATGGGAACAGCAACCACGAAATTAAAAGACACCTGCTTCCTGGGAGGAAAGCGATGCCAAACCAAGGCAGCATCTTAAAAAGCAGAGACCTCACCTTGCCGACAAAGGTCCGCATCATTGAGAGCTGGACTATAAAGAAGGTTGACCGCTGAAGAATTGATACTTTTGAATTGTGGTGCTGGAAGAGCCTCTTGAGAGTTCCCTGGACTGCAAAGAGAACAAATCTATCCATTTTGAAGGAAATCAACCTCTAGCGCTCACTGGAAGGACAGATCCTGAAATTGAGGCTCCAATACTTTGGCCATCTCATGAGAAGAGAAGACTCCCTGGAAAAGACCCTGACGTTGGGAAAGTGTGAAGGCAAGAGGAGAAGGGCGAGATGGTTGGACAGTGTCATCGAAGCTATCAACATGAATTTGACCAAACTCTGGGAGGCAGTGGATAAAAGGAGCCTGGCGTGCTCTGGTCCACGGGGTCACAAAGAGTCGGACACGACTTAATGACTAAACAACAACAAATCATGAGAAACTATGGGTTGTTCTGAAAGAAATGGGTGTGCGTCAGCACTTGATTGTTCTGATACTGCATTGTAGAGAAGCAGCTACTACCCTATTTCCACAAAAATAAGACAGGGTCTTATATTAATTTTTGCTCCAAAAAACGCATTAGGGCTTATTTTCAGGGGATGTTTTATTTTTTTTCGTGTACAACAATCTATATTTATTCAAATACAGTCATGTCATCTTATTCTGGTTGCTGCACAGTGGTGGAGGGTGGGGTTTCACTTAACTGGGGCTTATTTTGGGGGCAGGACTTATATTATGAGCATCCTGAAAAATCATACTAGGACTTATTTTCAAGTTAGCTCTTATTTTCGGGAAAACAGGGTATTAGCACATCATAAGGAGAGATAGAATGGTTTCTTATGGGCAAAGATGTCAGATAAGGGTGCATTTTACTCCCTTATCTGTTCAATCTGTATGCTGAACATATCTGGAAAGTTAGACTATAGGAGTGAAAATTTGTGGAAGAAACATCAACAATTTAAGATATGCAGATGATGCATATCAGAAAGCAGCAATGACTTGAAACGCCAAAGCAAGACTGCAGTTGAACATTAAAAAGACAAAAACCATGACTAAAGGAGAACTACACTACTTTTAATATTCACAATGAAGAAATTGAAACAGTGAAACATTTTGTATACATTTTTTCAAGGTGAAGATAATCCACACTCTTGCATTCCTATCACCACCATGTGTGGATGTGAAAGCTGGATGGTAAAAAAAGCTGACAGGGAAAAAATGATTTGTTTGAAACATTGTGCTGGAGGACAGCTTTGCAAATACCCTGGACTGCCAGAAAGACAAACAAGTGGCTCCTAGAGCAATTCAAGCCTGAACTATCTCTGAAGGTAAAAATAATGAAACTGAGGCTGACCTACTTCGGGCACATCATGACAAGATAAGATCATAATGTTTAGGAAGGTTGAAAGTAGTGGAAAAAGAGGAACATCAAATACAAGATAGACTGACTATATAAAGGAAGCCACGGTCTTGCTTTTAAATGAGCTGAGCAGGGCTGTTGAGGATAGAACATTTTGGTCATCTCTCATTCATAGGATTGCCGTAAGTCAGAGATAACTTGACAGCACACAAAAATAGGAAGGAAATTCATTACCTGGATCTCCACCAGTTAAAAGCTGGAAGGATTTAAATGTCAAAATGTAATCAGGTGGCTATTTCAGCAATTACTTTAGCACTGATACAGGACCAGTAAAATCTGGTTAAAATCTTCATTCAGCCATGAAACACATTATGTGAACTTGGGCAAATCAGGTGCTCATAGCTTAATCAAACTCTCAGAGGGTTAGTGAAGAGATAAATGGAAAAGTGGCAAAGAAGCTAATAAAACACTTTCAATTCCTTAGAGCAGTGGTCCCCAACCTTGGGCCTCCAGATGTTCTTGGACTTCAACTCCCAGAAATCCTGGCTAGCAGGGGTGGTGGTGAAGGCTTCTGGGAGTTGTAGTCTGAAAACATCTGGAGGCCCAAGGTTGGGGACCACTGCCTTAGAGGAAGGGTACAATACAAGTGTGTAAGTAAATAATCAGAATGTTCCAAACTAAGACCATTTCAATATTCTATGGATTATCATCGCATCTGACTTTCAAGATGGTTTAAGCCACATGAACAGAGTAACATGGGTTCGTCTCACTCACCATACATTTTGCCCTCGTCCGAGAGGATAATCTTACGTCGGCCACAGGGCGGATATATCGCCAGTGCCTCCTGAAAGCTCTGTTCAATGTCTGGACTCCACACTCCTTCGGCATCATTGTCCAGACTCTTATCCATCCCCTCCTGTCCATCTTCTCGCCCCTCCCCGGGGCTGCCGCTGGCGTTCCAGCTGTTGGACGCTATTGTGATGGCTGCTCTGGGCTCCGACCCCGAGCCCCAAATGGCAACTCGTCGACCTAAAAGCAAGTAATGAGTACTGATTAATCAAAATGCTCTAAGGAAAAAGTTACTTTTTAAAACTCCAAATCATGAACCCCTCAGCCAGTAATGTTCCAATTTAGAATGTAGAATCTTTTAGTATAAAATCTTGTGGAGAACTATAAAGAGAGAACCACCAAAGAGGGAGAAATGAAGAGCACCCTGTACATAATATACATTTTGTATTAAAAGGACAGAAATTAATTGGGGCAACTGTGTAAAAGGTCACTGGGGTTTAGCATCCACCACTTCCATGGGACATGAGAGGGCTCAAGATACACTTATTTTTCTAGAATAATCACAGAACCAGATCTGCAAGGTATTCCATTTAATATACTGTAACCTGCATGATACCAGATGTGTACTTTTTATTTACCTAATTTTGTTTTATTTTTACTATACCTTATATTCTCTGGCTCTGGATGTTTGGGTGCAACAAATTTGATTCAGTAAATATAAAATCCTCCTTTGTCTGTTGGATATTTTGATATCCCACAACACAATGCAATTGGAAAATACCCAATGATATAAGCAGTATAAAGTTTTCTCTCCCAGTGTGTATTAACTCAAATGCATCTCCCACAGCATAGGAGCTTTCTGCCATAGTGGCAATTTCATAAATGTAATTATAGTTGCTGTGTTTCCCTGAATATAACACAGAGGGTCTTATAGTAATTTTTGCTCCAAAAATGCATTAGGGTTTATTTTCAGGGGATGTTTAATTTTGTTCATGTACAGTGGACCCTTGACTTACGAAGGTACCTACTTACAAAAATTTCTAGGTACGAAAAGCTCCGCTGCAAAATTTTGGTTTGACTTGCACCCGGAGCTTCGACCTACGAAAGGCAGGGGGAAAGGGCGGGAAATTCAAAACCGCCCCTGGTGTCCTTTGTCTCCCGTTCCCGGTGCCCTCTGCCTCCTGTCCCTGTGGGGACAGGAGGCAGAGGGCAACGGGGATGGGAGACAGAGGGCAGCGGAGGGGGTTTTGAAGCCCAGGAAGCCAAAAGCCAGCACGGGTTAAATGCTGGAACAGATTAAATGGTTTTCAATGCATTCCTATGGGAAATTTTTGACCTGCAGCCACCGTTCCAATATGGATTAATTCCGTAAGTCAAGGGTCCACTAACAATCTACGCTCATTCAAATACAGTCATGTCATCTTCTTCTGCTTGCTGCACAATGGTGGCGGGTAGGGTTTCACTTAAGTAGGGCTTACTTTGTGGTAGGGTTTATATTATGAAAATCCTGAAAAATCATACTAGGGCTTATTTTCAGGTTAGGTCTTATTTTTTGGAAAACAGGATATTATTGTATTCCTTATACTGATTCATAATCTCTCTCAGGTTAATCAAGGAAATCTTGATTTTATGATCTATTGATATAGACATAATGGAGAACAGAAAATGTATACACATTTGTCTTATTCAGAGCTGAGACATTTTTCTTGGATAATCTTCGAGAAGCATTAAAATATACATTAATATAAAAAAAAAACCAAGCTGGGTTTCGGATAGAGATCAATAGGGTCAGTGATAATTTTTTTAGCATTCGTCATTTTAGCACGTTTCAAATATCACAACTACAGCAGCAGCAGCAGCAGCAACATGCTATCAGAATAATTCTGACTTATGGCAACCTCTTACAGGGTTTTCTAAAACTTCAAAGTTTTAATGCTTACATATAAGGCCGTATACGGTTTGGGACCTCGATACTTGGCGGAACGCCTTCACCCACCAAGTTCTACCCGGATCACTCGCGCGAGCCAGGAGGTGAGGCTGAGGAGCCTGACGCCGAGGGAGGCCCGGAGGGAGAAGACACAAAACCGGGCCTTCTCAGCGGTGGCTCCTCACCTTTGGAACAATCTCCCTCCTGAGATTCGCGCGGCCTCTACCCTGGGTACATTTAAAACTCAGCTAAAAACATGGCTCTATGTTAAGGCCTTCCCTTCTGTCAGCATTTAATTTAATTTAATTTATCTTTTCTTTTCTTATCTATCTATTATTTATGATATATGTTATGTTTGTTAATTGATATTTTGAATTTATGTTACTATAATTGTATATATGTTGTTGTTAGCCGCTCAGAGTGGTATAGATTTATCAGATGGGCGGGATATAAATCAAATAAATAAATAAATAAATAAATAAATAAATAAATAAATAAATAAATAAATAAATAAATAAATAAATAAATAAATAAATAAAGAGTACTCAGGAGTGATTTGCCATTCCCTTCTTCTGGAGACAGGATGGGAACCTCTAACTTACTGAACACCATATACACTGGCTCCCCCCCCCCCAGGAAACACAGTGGGGAATCAAGCTCCTGCTCCCTGGCTCTGCACCCAGGTACTCCTTCTCACGAAGCTATCCAGTCAGGTCTGTGTGTGAGTCTGTGCGAGAGAGAGGTGTGTGTCTTCAACCTGGTATTCTCTCTCTCATAGGAACACAAACTTCAATTCGACTTAAGCCCTTTGTTTTAACACAAGGAGCTCATTCTCGAAAATCCTGTATAGGCTAATAAAGTCCTACTAGTTCATTTCAGAATTTTGAATAAAGAAGCCAGAATTGTTAGGCTAAGTCACAGGAAAAATCAGGAAAATAGCGCATGGTCCTGGAAACAATACAAATTGCAAGAGCAGGTGATCAACCATTAAGAATATAAAACAAAATCAACCATTAAAATCAACCATTAATCAACTATTAAGAATATAAAACAAACAAACAAAAAGCCTTCCTTCCTGTGATGATTGCAACACTGACTTCTTGCATGTGTGAATGTCTCTACCTATCAATCACACCATAGACAGAATTCTTATTGTTTAAAACAGTAAGTTTTTCAACTGAAGCCAATTCATGTATTTACCTCTGAGGGAATCCCATTATGGGAAAAAGAAAGGAATGTACATTCAGCTAACATCTAATCTGACCCTCACCTTTACTGATGGAATCATTATGGCCATTTTTGTAGCACTCTTTCAAACAGAATGCAATGCACTGAACCCACTCATGTAGCTCAAGTGGAAACAGCTATTTTGATTACTAGATATCACTCCCAGGCAACTGGTTCAGTCCCACATTCACTGTAGAGGGAAGACTGTCACAAAACTCTCAATTGTTTATCAGGGGAATGTCTGAGCTATAAATCAGCTGACAACAACATGTGCTTAAGTCCACAGCCAACGTCTGCATTAAAATGTGGTCATCCAGTTCCTAATTCATCTAAGTAAGAAATTCAGTTCTAAAACTCTTTGAAAGGAAGAAAGGAAGATGGTTAAAAACCAATTAGTTTGTTTCTTAAAAATATATTCCAGTCATAGATTTTGATCTTAAATGGCTTTTTTAAAAAATTACCATTAAATCTAAAGGTAGCAGAAACACTTGAAAGGATACACCTATACTCTCTTAAAACTGAATCACAAGCATTACGTAAGCTCAAAAAAGCGGACATGGAAGGAGCCTCCCCTAATAATGTGAACACACCTGGGTATCCCCTGGCCAAGAACAGTACCCTGTCTGCTGATCCTTCCACTCCAGAAGCACCATTGGACTAGTTTTCACATGAAGAAAGAAGAAACAGTACAACAAAATTGTTAGCATACAGCACTCACAAGGAATTGGCAGAAGGGACTTTCATGGCCCTTTTCTCCTTCATAGTCAATTAAGTTTCCTAAAAAGCATTTCTTGAGTGCTGGGATACCATCCTGAAAGTAGAAGACTAGAGCAGCAAGAAGGAAGCCTCTCAATCCAGAACAGGTTGTCTTTACAGTAGATCCAATTTTAAGTGATGCCCTTCAACACTCAGTGCAACTGCCCACCCATCTTGGAAGATCCACTAACCCTCACAAGAAGCTTTCCAAGGATGCTCACAATTCAAGCTACTGAGCTGACTTTTCACCTATCTTGCCAGATTAGGTGACAGCATGTTCCCACTTTGTGATACTTTAATGCAGGAGTGGGCAATTAATTTCTGTAGGGGGGTCACATGAAAAATATGAATTGCGTTGGGGGCCAAAGCAACTTTACTTAAAAATAAAATGAAACAGTGATGTTATGATTGGTTTTATTTTAAACTTGTTAATCTTCACAAATACTAAAGAGGTTTTTTGCGGTATGTTAAAGATAAGCAACTGATCAACTTTAGACGAAAAGCTACAAATCGTTTTGATGTTCAAAACTGTCCGCGGGCCAGACAGGAGCGGCTCGCGGGCTGTATGTGGCCCTCGGGCCACACTTTGCCCAGGTCTGCTTTAATGACTAGTAGCAAGTGTTATCTGTTACAAGCTTTCACAAACAGTAGCCCATTTCTTCAGATACAACTGAAAAAGTGGGCTACACCTCATGTAAACAGGTGCCAAAAAGAACTTACTTGTCTTTAAAGTGCTGTAATATTCCTCATAGTTTTGGCTGCAAATAATTAATTTAATTCTCTCTCTCTATCTTGATCTCTATCTCTATATCAACACAAATTATTTAAATATATTTATTTTCAAATTCTAAGTACTGTTTGTCAGTCTAATATACTGTAGGATTACTTTTTCTTTTCTAAAGTAGAAACATCATTTTGTCCATGTCATGTGTCCTTGCTTCTTCTTGCATTTAAATATATATAGCTTGATTCTATGTAAGTTTAATTACAAGTAATTGCTACTTTGTTCTCTATGGGGCTTGTTTCCAAACACATATGCCTCCAAATACACAATCTAGCCCAAGCTCATACAGAACCAAAGAGATCTAAGCAGATATAATTCTGCATTGTAGGTGGGTTTCACAACTGAATATTTTGGTCTATGCTTTCTGATTATATAACACTTTGTTTCAGTTATCAGAGAGTCTGCTTTAATTGTTATGACAACTCAATTAGAACGTCTAAATGTACAGAGTTTAGAACTAAATCACAGCCTAAATCAATAGTTTAAAACTGCTATTGATCTTGAGGATTTAGATCAGGACATAACATCTCAATGATCTGGAGTAAG